TAATAAATTTTTATTTAATGTGAAATTAGAAAAAAAATAGGTTGATGATGAAATTGAAAATAATTTTGGGAGAAATGAATGAAATTTTGGGTTCGGATGGTGTTTTTGAAAGAAAAATCAAAAACTGATGGGGGGTCAAAACACAATTAAAGAAAATTTTACCACATAGGACCACCCAGTCAGCAACCCCGATGAACCGAAGCGCGCCGCGTGACAAGGCACGCTGACTCAGAGCCACACGGGAGACCACACTCGTAATCCACGTGCCTCACGATCGGACGACCCGAAAGTGTTCCCACGCGCGTGAACAGTCTGAATCCGTTCCCTCCTTAGGTGCGATTAAACAGTCAGGATTAAATGCGATGAATGCTCCAAATTTGTTCATTCTTTAAACGTGATCGTATGGTTGAGTGCAAATTACAATGAACGGTCCAGATTTATTTGCTCTTTAAACGCGATCCGACGAGCGAGATAAAAAATAATGAACAATCAAGATTAATACGAGACGGATATAAATATCTCGGATCATACCGAAGTCAAATCCTAGCCGCCAGCCTCCCACTGAATAAGAAGAATAAGTTGCTGCAGAAGGGAGTCGACTGCCGCTCGTCGCGGCGGCGGTGCCACCTCCGACTGTCAAAAAAGGTAAAAATTCTCCTATCTACTCAGAATTTAATTTCGAGCACCCCAATGACCAAATTGGAGTAAAAAGAATGGTGGGTGAGCCGAAAACCACAGGCAAAGCTCAGTGGCGCCGCTGCATGCCAAGCCTGAACCCTCATCCGATGAGCCCTTTCCCATTTTCTGTTTTGTGCGATTTTTCCACCATTGTGTTCACCATTCTATTTTCTGTTTTTTTACTTTTTTCAGTCAACCGAGGTCTCCTAATGTATTTTCTCGCAAGGATGAGTATAAAATCGGTCGAAATCGACTAAAACTGACCGAAAACGAACAAGCCAAGGCAAACCACCACTGTGGGTGGCGGTGTTATCGTGGGAGCATGGCGGTGCCGCTGTGCCAGAATTTCAAAATTGACTGGGAAAGGTTTTAACACCGATTTTGAGTTTTTGGGGGTATTTTTAGGTACGTGAAGCGTGTTTTAATCTCCACAAGAAAATTCAGAAAATCTAGGGGCTGTTAGTAGGCGCAATAGAAAGTTCAATATTTCGGACATCAATTCATGTAAGAATTTCTCACTTTATTCCCTATTATGAAATTAAAGCTTAATAATCGGTAATACGATATTTTGTGTAATTTGAAAAACTTTAAAAATAATTACAAGTTACCAATGGAATCAGAAATCGGTTAGTTATTTATTTATTATCCTGTTTAACTGATTTTTAAATTTACAGTTTTAAATACATGATGATATATTGGAATAGTTAAATGATTCAATTGTACTTCCTTGATATATATATTGCTTGTCTTGCGTGATTTACAGTTGATTTATGAAATTGGTAATTAATATGCAAACAAAAAATTATTTGGTTAATGAACGATAACATTACTGGATATCCTGAGAGATGGTAGACGGACCAAATATATTGGGAACCCTACCGTAAATATTGCCTTATACCAGACTGGGTATGGGGCGACCCGATTCACCCTTATACCGGACGGGGTATTGAGGGATGGTATTTTTGACGCTTATACCGAACGGGGTATGAGGACAGCCAGTTTGTCGAAAGTGTTGGATATGAGTTCACGCGTAGTGAGACATTCCTATGGGTTCCTAGGGATAACAATAGGCAAATAAAAATGAAAAATTATTGTTCTTGTTCACTTGAATATGAGGTTGAAATGTTATTTGAGTTATTGTCTTTATAGATCGATTTTAAAAATTTCACAACGGTAAATATATGCAATAAACGATTTTTCTTATGATAAATGGATTTACTTAAATCAAGAGCTCCATTGGTTGTTTTTATGATTTTTACCAACTTTCAGTTTCTGTATCGGTGAGTAGTGTGATATTCTTACTGGGATAGTGTACATCGCCCTTTTATTAACTATTTCAGATCAAGAGAACTAAAACCAAGATTCCGATCAACAAGAGAGTTGTGAATAGTTCACCACCCAGACTCCCTTCAAAAGTTAGAGAATGTCGTTCTAGAATGCTCAGTATATTTCATTTTGTTTATTTATTTGATTTTCGTTTATCCATTTAAAATGGACATTCTCGTAGTTCTATTAGGCGTTCTAAATAATTGTGTAAGAAATATAAACCCTAAACTTTATTGTTTTGCTTCCACATTTTATTCATAACTTTATTTCATTTTAAGTTCAAGACTTTACATATGATGTATAAATTAGAGGTAAATAAAATTAAATTATATTTTTAGATGCAAAAATTTTAAAATAAATAACTATTATATATATTATTAAAATTATTTTATACTTAAAAAATTTTGGAGTACATGATTTTTTATCAATTAAAAACTAGGTTTTAGTTTTATATTTTGAAAATTCAAATGAATAATTATTATATTAATTTTAGAAGTTTATTTTTATTATAATATATTAAATTTTTGATATTACTTATATATATATTTTTTATTTTAAAAAATAAAAAACCATCATGTCAACTTTTTCAGTATTATATATATATAGGTTTTATATTAAATATTTAAACTATCATAAACATTTTAATTAAGTTATTTTTAAATTTTTTTTTTAAAAAAATATTTTTTATTTCTAATAAGATAATTATAAGATTAAAACTGTAGCACCCGGAAAGGAGGAGGAAAAAAAAAAAAAAAAAGGGGGTGCCACGTCAGCAGCCACGTCAGCAGGCCCGGTCAGCAGTCCCGGCCAACCAGGGCCTGCCACGTGGCAAGATCGCGTCACTCCGAAAGGAGCCACGTTGGCGATCCGCGTGGGTGCGATCCGACGGCCCAGATCAATCGTGCGATCGGACGGCCCAGATTCAAACGCACGGACGGCCCAGATTCAATCAAAAACGAACGGCCCAGATTAAAACGAAATGAACGGCTGTGATCAAAAGGCAAGGGGTTATAAATAGAACCCCCACACCAGACCACAAACCCTAGCCGCCAGCCGCTCGCCGGAGAAGACGAACCAGAGGCCGACCGCCGCCACCCGCCGCCACTCGCCGCCGCACCGGGGAAATTTCCGACCGCCGATCGAGGTAAATTTCATACCCCGACTCGTTTTTCCCCGTTGATTCCTCCTATGGCCAAATCGAGGCCGAAATCCCGGCCAAACGGCCGGAATACGCGGCCGAAGCCCAGCGGCGCCGCCGCGCCCCCTCTCGGTTTTTGCCTCCGACGAGGCCCTTCCCGGCCTCCGTTCGATGCAATTTTTATATCACCGTGATCACCATTCTTTTCTCTACAGGTTGACCGGAGCCGAATCACCAAAACACGAACCTCGCCGGAGAGCCGCTGCACCCGAGAGCGCCGCCGCCGGTAAGCTCCGTTTTTCCGTGATTTTTTGGCCCCCCGAGGGCCCTAGGGTTGTTTTCTGACAAGGACCAATGCGAGCGTGGCCGAATTCGGCCGAAAACAGCCAACCCGAGGTGACTTGCCGCCGCCAGCGGCGGCGCCGTCGCCGGAGCACGGCGGAGCCGCCGTGCCGGAGTTGCGATTTGGGCCGAAAGAGGCCCTGGGCCTAATTTGGATTTTTTTTGGAACACGTGCAGGTACTGTTAGTGTGTTTCAGTTCCCCGGGAAAAATTCAGGGAAAATTAGGGACAGCCTGCAGGCGCACTGTGAATCGTATTCGGATCCCGAAAATAAGTAAGGACCCCTCACCCTATTTCCTATCACGGTATTAAAGTTCAAAATAATAAAACGGTATTTCTTGAATTAACGCATGTGTGAAATTGCTTAAGGTTGCTAATGGAGCCCGAGTCTAGTGTGATTGATGATTTACTGTTATTTGGCCTGTTTACAGCTTTAAATGCAAAATGAGGTTTGATGTGTTCATTTTACAGATTTGTGTGCATGTACTACGTTTTTTATTAATTATGGGTTGAATGACTGAAAAACTGATACTGTATGTTGTCTGTTTGGTATGAATTACGATTTGCTTGTTTAAATGTGAATTGATGATGCTGATTGAGGAAAAGGAAAATGAAAGATTGTGTAGACTGATAATTGTATTATGGGGGTCAGCCTGACTAGATATCCTGGGAGATGGTGGACGGACCGGGTCCGTAGGGAACCCTACCGGGATTGTGGTCTCACATGCCGGACGGGGTATGGAGATCTTATGGTTTTGGCGCCCATACCGGACGGGGTATGGGGACGGCCCGTTTCACCCTCATACCGGACGGGGTATTGAGGTTTATGGTTTTGGCGCCCATACCGGACGGGGTATGGGGACGGCCCGTTTCACCCTCATACCGGACGGGGTATTGAGGTTCATGGTTTTGGCGCCCATACCGGACGGGGTATGAGGACGGCCCTGAAAACTGATTATGAATGTTAAAGGTTAACGGGTAGCGGAACCCCTATGGGCCCCCACGGATACTAGTAGGCTGGTAAAGGAGAAAAAAAATATGTTGTACAATGATTGAATTACAAGAGGCGTGATAAGTGTTATGTTTTA